CCACACCCTTAACAGCCTCCTTCACCTTCAAACGTTCCTGGAAGCCCTAATAGCCTTTGTGAGTGCTTTTGAGCCTTAAGAGTGCATTGTGGTCCTTTTTAGTGTTCATTCCAAGAAGAGGAAGTGGTCAAGAAAGCTTGGGACGAGTTGGTGCTTCAAGGATTTGCATCTTGGTCATCTTTCAAAGCTTCTGGAGGTAAAAAGCTTGCATCTTTCCACTTAAATCTCTAGATCTAGCTAGGGTTTCCTACTTTGTCCCTTTTGGTTGATTTTGGACCTCCATTAGTGAGTTAAGCAACTCCAGAAGATGGGAATGACAGATCTGAGGTCCCTTGGTCCTTTAGTAACATAAAAATGGAGTCTTGGTGGAAGTATTGGCCTCATGCATGGGTTAAAGACCTTGAAAAGGTCTTCATGGAGGTGTTGGGTGTATATGAGCCATGCAAAGGCATAAAGTTGCCAACTTTATGCCTTAGGACATCTTAACAAACTTAGATCTGGCTTTTGGACGTAAAGGAATCGGGTATTAAGCACTTAATGGAGAAAGTGCTTAGTCTGGTAGTACGCTGCGGCCCAAGACCCCAGTACGCTGCGCGTACCAGGATGGTACGCCGAGCGTACGCATTACAGTTGGGATGAATCTGTTTTGGGCCTTGGAGCCATTGGGCCTTATTTGGTTATTAGACGGTTGCATTCTGCGAATTATGGGCCATTTCATCTGTTATGGGCCATGGATATATTGGTTGGGCCTTATTGGGCCAAGAGGCCCATTAATGATTTTGGACTTGGACTTTGGGTCCATTAGCAAAGGAAGGATAAGTGGGCCTCATGGAAGGGTTTGAAGTTTGGGTTTCTTTTGATTAAGTAAGGTTCTGACATTAATTAATATTATTATTCAGCACGGGAGGTTACAGACTGTTAGGAAAGCAGCTTTTGTATTCAACAGACAGAGGTGAGTCTCCTCACCATACCAATGGGTCTAAGGCACCAAGTCCGGCCCATTAATTGTTATGTGATGTGTTATGCTTGATTATTTGTGACATTTGCATGAAAGACCTCGGGGGGTTCCCGAGGCACCTAGGTATAAGACCTTGGACGGTTTCCGAGGCATCCTCGGTAAAGACCTCGGGGGGTTCCTGAGGCACATGGGCTAAGACCTCGGGGGTTCCCGAGGCACCCGGAGTAAGACCTTGGAGGGTTTCCAGGGCATCCATATATGTTGTATGCATGGCTTATGTGATGTATGTAGCCTTAGGGCTAATATGATATGTGATATTTGAATTGTATGTGTGGTATGCTCTGGGGAACTCACTAAGCATTCACTTACAGTTTGTGGAATTATTTCAAGTACATCTGAGCCCAAGGGCAAGGGTAAGGCGTGATGGCGCGGCGTGCACTCTATCTCTCATTGCTATGTTACGAGACACTCTGATGTTTTAAATAAAGTTGTAATAAATTTGGAATTGGAAACGATTGTTTTGGGATTTCATGGTTCACGCAAATGTGTTTTGATTAATTTAAAAATGAAAATTTTCTTTTAAAATTTGGGCCGTTACAGTGTGAGGAAATTATGATTTTTTAAAATTTCAGCGCAACAGTGTCAACACAGAAACCGAGATTAAAATCAGTCAATTGTTAGGAAAAAATATATAAGTAAGAATCTAAGATCTCATGAATATGAATCCGTCGATATAAAGACAGTCGAGAATGGATGTCATATGAAAGAGTTAAGATTTTTATATAGACTTTAAAAGTCTAAGCCTATGAAAATATAACTTTATAAATAAATTGAGAATCAGCCGACAAAGTCTAAACGAAAGTTGTAGTACTCGTCGATAGTTACACGTGGATATAAAGAACGTCGAAAACGGAACTTATATGAGGAAGATATGAATTTTGGAAAAATATTAAAAATTCATGCGCGTTGACAGCATGTGTGGCGCGCACATACAACAGATGCGGCTCACCCGGTTTGTGACACATGGTGGCATTCTAATGGAACCAAGTCAATGGCCCTGAGAAAATGCACGATGTGCACCAGACCAAGCACGCGACACGCCCCCTTTTCCGCCCAATATATTGAAGTTGAAATTAGCTCATTTCCTCACACAACTACTTCAGAACGTTCTCTAGAAATCTCTCTCTCTCTCTCTCTCTCTCTCATTTTCGAATTTTCTCTAGAATTTTAGGGTATTAGCTGGGCTCTGAAGAATTAGATAGCCGTCAAATAGAAATTTCAGGGTCGGAGTTCTGCCTGCAAACTTTCCAGACTTCATGTCTGGAAACTCTGTACTGCACTTATTCTACTTTAAGTGAAACTGACATTTATAGTCATAGTCGTTATTATGAACCTATAAATAAGATTTGTTAGTGATCCCAATGGTAACATATCAAAGTGCAATTCAACCTCATGAATTTGAATATGGTAATAGATGGTATCACCATTCACGTACCCAAATTCTTAGATCATTACATCAAGTTCATGGACTGAGAATACATTTATGTCTACATATTCTATGTAATCAACTGTTTCATCCACATAATGAAATCTATGGTATTTTGTAAACAACCCTCATGATACACTTTCCCTGTAAATAAATTAGGTATACCCCTTGTAAAATGAAAAGTAGAGTTTTGAGAAGAAAGCAAAGTCGTTAAGCAAAATTGTTCAAGTGTTTGTTTGTTTGAACAACGGACTTACTGTACACCTTTCTCACGTCTTCACTCACATTTGTTGGACGAACTTTCCACAAAATCAACTTCATAACACTTGTTTACTGATTAAATCTTGTCTAAAACCACTTTCTCTTGTTGAATGTTAAGGTTAGGGAAGATAATAGGTTTTTTGGGGGATGTGTAGTGAAAAGCAGGGTCGATTCAAGTCGGTTTGAGGCCCCAGACAAAATAGAAAAATGATACCCTTAACACTAACTTTTTTAAGTATAAAATGATTAATTGCTTAGATTCATGAAGAATCGGTTAAAATTTATTCTGTCTTCTACACCAATTTTAGCTCCAATCTCGTTTTTCCTTTTTTGCCACTACCTGTGACAACTTAATATCAAACGGTTTTTTTCTTCTAATATAAGTAGATACATAAAAATAGGCCCTTTAAATTTAGAGTCACTGGGTCATAACATGGCCCATGCTGCCCCACTCTCTGATACCAACATGGTGAAAAGACAAGGACGAAACCTTCATAAATCTGATTCTATGGCAGGCGAGATGACATGATGAATATACCCTCGTGTGATGGGCATGTGAGCTCGACTAACGTCTAAAATCAGACGGACCATACACGTATAGGTTTTCATAAGTTTCCTTGACCAACTAGTTCTTGTAAACGACATAGACCAATTGTGTAATTTTCTCAAAACAATGATATTTTTTAACTATAAAATGGAGTTATAGAATAAGCATTTTGATTGATAACTACATAGAACTTTGGCTTTACAATTCGTACATGAAGAAGGAGAAATGATAATATATAATAAAAAAATATTAAGGCTTTTGACATAAAAGCCTTTAAGTTTGTCAAGGTGTGATGGTTTTGTCCCTCATCGATTTTAGTTGTGTTTTTGCCTAAACTTTGGACATTAATGCTTAAACTTTGGACATTAATGAAGAAAAAATCATCATCAGAACAAAAACCGACAAAATTTGAGAAAATTAAAGACTTTTATGTCAAAAACCCTTTTAACTATCGATGAGGAATTTCCAAAAGGTGCAGGAATTGCTTGATCACGTATACAATTAGTCAGATTGCTAAAAAAAGAGGAGGCTTTTACTAGGGATATGTTATGGCACTCTTTGGAGCATTTGGAAAGCAATGAATGATAATACATTTAACAACAATCGGCTATCCCCAACAAAATGTGCGGATATCATCAAATCCTTAACTTTTTGTGGATCAAGAATATGAGGAAGAAATCTAGAATAGATTAGACTGAATGGTGTAATTGTCCTTTTCTTTGCTTATAAACTGTAATCACTCTCATCTTTATTTGCCTTCCTCTAACTACTTGCCAGTGGTTGGCCTTCTATAAATTGTTTGTTGGTTCCAAAAAAAAAAAAAAAACTATCATAAAAAGTCCGCTACATAACGTTGCAAAATTACAATCAGGATCTTTCTTATACTTGCTCTGTAGTCCTTCAGTTATTATGAATTTGCTTCTTAACCGTCCGTGACTTTTACCTAATTGCTTCCTGATCCTCAGGCTTTTGCCCTTTTCTTTATAAACTTCGTAGATTTAAAAACACTTAAAAATAAAATTTTATCTTAGTACTTTTAGTTTATAAATTTTTACACATATACATTTTTCAATATTTACCACTTATTAAGCTCAAGATTGACTAATATAATACATATACATATCATATTTCTAACACTTCTGAATGATAAGACTTTTGTTGTCTCCTTGTTTGTTTGACTATACATTTGTTCCATTCGTAAGCACCGTTTTCAATAATCAACCTATTTTTTGCTAAACTTTTATTTTGATAACAGAATCAATAAAGTGTTTTCAAAATTATGCACAATTTGATAGTTTATTGTCCTCTGATAATCACAAATTCATAGCATTAAATCTATTTTACCAATATCATTGTAATCTATGAATTATGCAACACCCCCATCACCTGATCTCATGAACAGTTGGTGTATTGGCAGCGGTCGATCTATTAAAACAAGTAAACAACACACATCTTCAAATCCCATAAATAAAATCCATCTTTTGCAAGAATTGATAATTATTGCAAGTAGAAAAACTAACAAACCATTTTGAATTTTATTAGGGCTTTGAGTTCAATTTTGATTTCAAATTGGGGCTTGAATATGCTTCTCAGTTTTATGAATTTTGTTTCATAAATCTAATTATGATCAAGATAAAAATAAACCGATCCAGTAAAACAAGTAGTTGTTGCTATGAAGTTATATCCCATGGACCATGTCAATCAGAGTAGTACAAAAGCATATAACAAAGCACAGTGAAATAGAGTAAGTCCATTTGTTTGTTAGTAGTGAATATTTGAAAATAGTTGATGGATGAAACAAAAGCATAGTATAAAACTATGGAGGTAATTTAAACATCATTCGACACTTTCTAAACAGTAAATACCCTTCAAGTTCAAGGGTCATAAAAGAGACTCAAAGTTTTGTTGGTTTAAACATAAAATAAAACTTGTATCCAAGTCTAAGTCCAAGCAGCTGATTGATTACATAGATTGTTGCATGAGATGGCCATCTGGTCGATACCCTTCTCCAGGGATGGAATTGGAATTGGAATTGGAGTTGGAATGGGAATGGGAATTGGAATTGGTATTGGTATTGGAATTTGGTGAGTGATCATATTTACAAGCCGGCCCATATTTGCATATTCCATACCGACTGTAGTGCGTGCACATATTCTGATCCTGCACCCATCATTTCAAAAACAATATCAAAATTATACTTAAAACCAAAGTGGTAATACAAGAAGGAATGGAATTGTTCATTCCATTGGAATGAATAAAAAGTTGTTTGTGGAATGTACTATTCCTGAGTGAATCTGATTTGGATGTTTTTCCTTCATGGAATGAAAAATAATAATGCAACCAAAACATGATCAGGGAATGTAATGCCTTATTCCATTCCATTCCATCCAACCAAACAAACCCCAAATGTTAAGTGCAATATAAAGAACAAACTTAAGTAATGTCTCCATTCTCAATTGGGACCCACAATCTTGCTATTGTTTCTTGTGAAACGGGACCCACATCCACAAATTTTGAAACCATTGAAAGGCCAAAACAACGAGAACTAAAGAATGTTTTACACTAAATTACCATATAGAAGAAAAAAGAGGATGTACTTACAGGCCTTAAAGGCAACCCTTTATCACTCAGAACAGAAGGGGCAGTTTTGGTAATGCGACTCTTAGGATGATGAAACTTGCAGCCTGATCTGTATTTGCAGTCCCCTGTTTTCATGAAGTAACTGCATTCAGGTTGTCCAGGCCTTTCAGGATAATCTGAACCCGTCATCTGTGACTGTGGTTGATGATGCTGATGTGGATGCTGATGTGTCATCTGTGACTGTGGTTGATGATGCTGATTCTGATGTTGATGTGTGTACATGTTAGCATCAGTTGGTGGATTGTTCAAAAAGAAAGCCGGTGGAATAGGCAACCCTCTTTCTGAACTCGGATACACATGAGCAGAAGGTGGTGGAGGTGGGACAGGAGCCTCAACAAAAGTCAACCCCAAAAAACATAAACAAGTTAGTAAATATATGTATTTAGTTGTACAAGGGCAATTTAGTCATTAGACAGACAATATACCTGATAACCGTTCCAATCTGGAGTTGGTGGAGGAATGTGCTGCTGGGGTGGTGGTGAGTACATCACTGGTAGAAATGCAGCAGGGGTGTCTGGAGTTCTTTGAGGTGACCATGGGGGCATATTTGGAAGAGGTCCATCATTTCCATATGGGGTTGGGGAATGGGAATGGGCTAAATCACCTCCTACTCCTCCTACTGCAGTAGGATCAGGATGATTAAACCTACAATTTGGCCCATATTTGCAGGAGCCATTACGCATGTAGTAAGGGCATTCTTTTTCTCCCTGTAATATAATAAAATGTAGTCAAACAATACACACCAGGAGGAAGAACATAATATGAATGAATCTTGAATACAATAAAGATTGCAAATTAGTAATACCGGTCTGATTGGGAGGCCTAAAAAGTTATATTCTACCACTGGAGTTACAACGGTTTTTCCTCTGCCATGACTGAATTTGCAAGATTTCCCATATTTGCAACCACCCGTTGATAAATAAAACTGCAGCAAAATGACAAAATCAAGTATCAAGAATGCATCTAAGTGACAAGACAGGGTACCCATAGCAATGATTGTATAACTTAAGCAGATACATAGAGCAAACATTAGCACTGGGAATAAATATACAGACTAGTTGTTGTAATGAAGGCCCAAATGAAGGGATAATCTGCAGCTGTGTAACAACTACTGTATAACAATGTATGAAAATGGATAGAGTTATATGAACAAATATAGCAAATAACCTTGCAGTCAACCTGGCCATGCCTCTCTGAGCTTTCTTCCTTCTGATTCTTTGTCTCCTTCGTGGGTTGCTAAATAAGAGAAGTGATCTTCAGTAAGTTTTAGCAGACACAATGAGAGAAAAGTTGAAATTTGTTTGTAGAAATTAAACCTGATTTCTCCTTCTGAGAGGGTGATTGAACTTGCAATTTGATCCGAACTTGCACATCCCTGTCCTCATGTAATATGAACAATCCTCAGCATCTGGTCTCAATGGATAATGATACCTTTTCGATCCACCACCCCCTGGAACAGTCATCGGCCCACCTTCATCGCCCTCTCCACCAGCATTTTCGTTCTCGTTTTCCAGATCCTCCCCATCTTCAAACTCTTTCTCATTCACATCTTCACTCCTCTTGTCCTCACCGTTACTCTCGTAACCGACAATTTCACTAGTGTCATTCCCATCCTCTATCTCAATCTCGTGATTCTCCTTCGAATCCATCTCCTTATGTTCAACCGCTTTCTCATCAGCATCACCATTAACGTCAACAACGTTTCCCCCATCCTTTTCGCATTCTAGTCCAGTCTCGCCAACTTCCCGCTCTTCTAAAACCCTACATTCCTTCGGATCCTCTTCTCTAACCTTCTTCAGACCGTTCCGTTCGATAGCCTCATCCACGAACTGCCGTACATCTCGGAAATACTTCTCTACGCTTCCACTCGAAGAGTCAGCTTGAAACGCTTCATTAACAGCCTCCTTCACTAACAAGTGCCGAAGCTCTTCATCTATTGCTCGCTTCACTTCATCTTCCTCATCCGTTACAACCGAATGCCCCTGAAGATCTCGATCAAGAAGCTTATCTTTGCAGGGTACCACTAGGTTTTGAAGCTCTTTCGTAATATCTTCCACTAGCTTATCATTGTTGATGGACGAATCAGACTGCAGCCCTAAATCTATATGTTGTTGGTGTTGTTGATTATTAAGTTGAGAGTTTTCTTCAAATGCATCCATTCTCCCTCCACAGCTCAATCTTCAAACCCCGAGTTTTCAGAAAATATGGAGAAAGAGGGTTTCTGAATTGTAAATATATTTCCAGAGAAAGAACGAAGACGAGTGTGTGTGAGTGTGTGAGAGAGAATGTTAAAATACAATGTATAGGTGTGAAACGTGTGATTGCACGGATGATTTCCGTCAAACTTAACGGATTTTTTAAAGCTTTTCTTTTTTTTTTTTCCAAAAAAAGGGAAGACCATGTCATATTTTCAGAATACTTTATATTTTCTAGTAGGTTATATAACCCGTGGAAACCACGGAAGGTACAGTTAAAAAATATTTATAGAAAAAAAATAATAATAATTGTTTCCCTTAATAAAGTAATTTTATGTGGAAGATAAGAAAAGATAGTAGACTTTGGGAGTGGATTCTGTCTTGCAACAGATAGGGTGCTAATTTCATAAGCGGATCCCTCATGAAAAGTTTTTTGAAACTTATAAAATAAGTCTGTAAAACATAGCTTGAATTATAGATCCCTAAAAAAGTATAAAATACAGCGTTAGCAATTAATAAAGAAAAGGTATACTAAAAAATTAATAATATTAAAATAAAAAATATACATGTTCATCAAAGAAAATCATTTCGATTGACTATTTTTCGTTAGCATCAAATTTAGAATCGAGTGTCCACAACTTCAATATTTTTACTTTGATTGTGAAATCAGATATGACTTGGTCAATGTCTTTTATGAATGTAATATTTGAAGTAGACATATTGCTGTAAAAAAAATTAGAAAAGTAAATCTTTAGTAAACCAATATCCCAAATTATTGAAAAAGATACACAATAATGATATGTACTGAATTTGAAACGAAAACAAATACACAATAACGATGTACCCTTGTGAAAAATATTGAAAAAGAAATGAGGAATTAGACTCACTTCATAATGTTGTAGGATGTAGTTCCTAAATTTCATTGTTGTTAAATTAGCTACAGCTGCATAAGAAAGCATTCTTCTATAACTATGTAGTACATTAATGTGCTGGAGTTAATGGGTGTTTCTTTTTGACATGATGCTTAATGCAAAAAAATTGAGAATCGGAATCAGAAATGAGAATATGCATTTATGTATAATCAAAATCAGAAATGAAATATGCTTTTTTATAGCTCTTTCTAATTCAAATATCATAACTTTACCATTTTGCATAGTACTAAATCACATTTTCTAATTGACGTTCTTTTATGTAAATTTCAATAGTTTAATACTGACACATGATATTTTGCACTTTCTTGTTTTAGTTGATGAGAATCCATTCTAGGAATCCAGAGAGGGGTTGGACTTGATAGAAAGTAAGTAATAACCCTTAAATATATTTTATTTTTCATGACTTGTATGAAGAAATACTATTGTTTTTTTTTTGGCTTAATGGACTTAATGGGTGACTTAATCCAGTAAACTATAGTATAAATGAGTGTTTTTTTTTGGCTTAATGTAGAAAAATCGACTTAACTTAAAAAGTTAGGAAAATGAGGCTTTCGGCCATTAAGTCCTAACTTTTTGACAAATTTTTCTCATACATTATTTGTCAATATCCTTTTTATCTTTATTCGTTTGAAATTCCAGTAATTTAACAACAAATTTAGACACAATAAAAAGACCAAAATGCAATTTTCCCTGATTTTCCACGTTTTTTCAATAATTTGTACAAGCATAGCCAACTCACGTGCAAAGTGAAAATGCTTAAAACAATTAAGAAGTTATATGAAGTTACAAAGACCAAAATAAGAATGTTTCATAATAAATGTACGAAAATACCCTTTTCCTAAATTTCCAAAACAATTTTTTTAACAACAGGAAAGAAAACGATTTTACTTTTTTATTTAAACGGAGTCATTTACCACTTAGTTTAATATGCACTTTAAGATGATATAAATCCAATCATACTTCATACAGAAGTCATGGTGTTGGTTTTGTTCATAAAATAATGGATTTTTACTGAATTTGAAAACGAAAACAGATACACAATAACAATTTACCCTTGTGAAAAATTTTGAAAATAGCATGTTTATTCATTTGAAATTCCAGTAATTTAACAACAAAGTTACTAAGACACAATAAAAAGACCAAAATACCCTTTTACCATATTTCCCACGTATTTTCAATAATCTGTACAAACATAGCCAAGCCAGGTGCAAAGTGAAAATGGTAAAGCAATTAAGAAGTTATATGTAGTTACAAAGACGAAAATAACAATGTTTCATAATATGTGGACAAAAATGCCCTTTTCCTAAATTTCCAAAACAAATTTTTTTAACAGCAGAAAAGAAAACCATTTTACTCTTTTATTTAAACGAAATCATTTACCACTTAGCCAATATGCACTCTATGATGATATATATCCAATCATACTTCATACAAAATTCATGGTGTTGGTTTTGTTGATAAAAAATGGATCCAACAATCCACTTTGAAAACTATATTTATCAAGAAATTGAAGAAGAAATATAACTGACAGAAGTGGGATGCGTTTTAATAAGCAGATAAGAACATCTGCTTTCTTTTTTACTGATTTTACAACAGAAGTAGCAACA